GATGAGGTGCCGCTTGCAGAGCTAGCCGATGGCGAGCCAAGCGATGAGAGGGTACTCCGGGCAGCAGCCAACTCTCCCGAGCACCTTCGATCACACTTCCCAAAGAATCCATTCTGTCGGATATGTGCGATTGCTAAAAACACCGCAGCGCGTGTTGCTCGCAAACCCGATGGTCGTGCCGATGACGGGATCGACAATCCTACTGCCCCGTTTCAACAGCTCGCCACTGACAGTGTCATCCTTGCGAAAGGAGATGAACATGCGGGCATTGGAGTCGGAGGGATTAAATCTCATCACGTCATCAGGGATGTTTTCTCTGGAGCAAGGATTGCATATCCTGTATCCAAAAGGGACACAGCAGCCCATTCCAAAAATCTAAGGCACTTCCTAGGTTTGAAAGCCAACGAGCTCTTACCGACATGTCTAGTCAAAATGGATGAAGCTGGAGAGCTTGAAGCGGCAGCTCATGAGGTCGGATTAACACCCGAAACCTCGTTGCCGAACCGATGGCCCCACAATGCCGAGTTGGAAAGGGACATCAGGGAAGAAAAGGAATGTTGCAGATCTATCCACCTCCAGAGTGGGTTGCCATACGATCTACACACTCACTCCTATCCCTTTGCGTGCCTCTCCATGTCATTCGACAGACCTGCAACATTCGACAAGGCTAAGACCCAATGGGAAGCATTGACAAAGTCGAAGTTCGATGGCATTAGGCATTGCTTCGGTCAGCTTGTCTATTACCGTAAAAAGGGCATTAATAAGCGCACTCTAGAACCCAACTTGGCACCTGCTTTGTTTTTGGGCTGGAGGGTTGACGCAGGCCTTCGGTATCGCCATGTGGTCAAGGTCCTAGATTATCAAGAATTTAGGACTCGTCGAGCGATTGTAGTGCATGATGTCCCGGAAGCAGAACTCTTCGTTGAAGAAGGTGAGCCTTGCTTCCCCGTTGCGGCAGCAGCCCACAAGGCGCTGCGGACGGGGGAAGCCGAGGGTGAGCTCCCAGAAGTCGCTCTTAGCGAAGTAGCTGCACCGCCGACTCCGGCTCCAGGCACGCCGCGAGGGGTGTACATCACTGTGGATCGGATAATTCGGTTCCGTGAAACACCAGGTTGTCGAGGTTGTACTGGGCGCACCCGGTACCATACCCCCGAATGTCGACGCCGCTTCGCAAGGCTTGTCGATACAGAGAAAGCCGAGGAGCGCTCCAAGCGCTCGGCTGCCGTCGAGGTAGAGCGGTCACTTCGCCCCTCCGAAGCGATTGACCCAGTTCATGCAGCCAAGGAGGCACGTCTCGAAGAAGACGATGCCGACCTTAAAAAGGCACTTGAGCTTTCCCGCCTTGAAAAGGCAGATCTATCTGATCCCGATGAGCTCGAGAAAGCACTGAGGGCATCCGAAGAGCATGATGATGCTCTTCGCGGCAAGCCAGCTCCGTCTCGGCCAGGGGGAATTCCTCCAACCGCGCCGCCTGCAGCCACAACTGGCGCGGCAGTGACAACAACCACTGCAACCTCCACGTCACTCACGTGCCACGTAGCCGACTCCTTCACCAAGAGGGAGGCTCAGACTCTGCCAGTGTTCGGCATGCCATGTTCCAAAAAGGAGCCATGCAAAAAGTTTTCCGTAGGGAATAAGAGGGCCCGCAAGCGTATCGCGCGGGGAAATTCTATGCCTGTAATGTTCGAATATGCATGTTCAAGTGACTCCACTATGGGAGCAGTGCATCAAGCATTGGGCATTCCCCACGTGAGACTGGCTAAAGAACACATCGATCTTGAAACCAATGAAGGGGATGAGCAACTGACCGCTCAGTTGCAGTCTTGTTGCAAGCCTAACATGTGGGCAGCCATTCCGTGCACCTCCGGGTCGCCATGGCAAAGGCTAAATGTCCATAAGTATGGCAATAAATACAAGCAGTATCTCCGTGCACAGGTTAAAAGGTCGGAGGCGTTGTTCGCAAGGTTCACAAAGCACGCCGAAGTAGTGATAGAACAAGAGGGTCACGTCACTTTCGAGTGGCCTCGCGACTGCGAGGGATGGGAGCGCCCCGACGTAAAGGCACTCTTCGAGAAGCATGCGTCTCGCTTCCACTCAGTGACTTTCCACGGGTGTGCAGTAGGTTTGACTGACAAGGAAGGGACACCCATCAAGAAGCCGTGGCGTCTCATGACCACATCCAAGGAACTTCATGATGGGTTCCAGAATAGGACATGCCCCCACCAACACTCCTTCAAGCATGCACAGGCCGCAGGTAGCAACACTGCACGCACCGCCTTTTATCCACAAGAAATGTGCAAGATAATCGCTAGTGCGTTATATCCGCATGTCGCAACACCATGCGCGCCTGCGATGCCAGTCCAGGCTGTCATCGTGCAAGAGGAGCATCGGGAAAAGGAGCAGTCCTTGAAGCATACCTCCGCACTTTCGGGTGTTGGGGCTCTCGCGTCAGTTGTTGAATCAGATCCAACCTCCCGCAGATTCTTTGAAGAACTCTTTGACTTGGATAATCTCGTTAGGGAAATTCAGGGAATTCCAAAGCAGGAGACTTCTCCCGACATAGCCGCCATGGTCACAAAACTTCTTTCACGTTCAGAAATGCTTGCCTCGTCCGAGGCATTGCAGGCCATAAAGGAAGAAGCAGACGGCTTAGGTAATGCGGGAGTCTGGGATCTCAGCACCGTGAGAGAACAAGGAGAGGTCGCTGCTGAAGCGCGACGGACGCACACTAAAGTCCACTTCGGGCAACTAATGACTATCGCCTCCATCAAATTCTTTGAGCTAGCAAAGCATCTACAGAAAGTGAAGGGGCGTATAGTATACCGAGGGGACTGTGCGCGGGACGAATATGGGGCGGCGGTCGTTTATCAAGAACTCGGCGCCAACCCTACGTCCGTTCAGGGTTTGAACAACTGCCTTGCCTACGGCTCACTGCCAGGTCACAAAACCACGGCGGCAGATGCCGTAAAGGCATAGATCCAGGCCCTACTTCGATCTCAACACCAGACGTGGATATCATTGCCGCCGGAACTTCGTCCGAAGTGGTGGAAAGAAAAGTTTATAAAGCCGGTAGTCCTTCTAGTAAAAGCACTCTACGGTCATCCCGACGCGGGGGGGCTATGGGAGCAGCCAAGAATTTCCAGGAAACTTTTACTTCCCCTCAACCGGCTTAATGCTGTCCACTTATGTGGATGATCTAACACTTTCAGGGCCGGCAGAGCAGCATGATCCTTTTTGGGAAAAGCTGATGTCATGTGTTGATATTGAACCCCCAGAACCGATATATCGTGTTTTGGGAAGGAATCATGTCATCATTAACGCCCCGAAGTGCGAGCCTAATCCAGCCGAGAGCGCAGCCTTTGGCGCGCTGTCCAACGCAATGGCTTTTGATATGGTTGACTACGCCAAACAAACTGTTGATCTATATGTCTCCATTTCAGGTCAGCCGATTAGTAAGCTCCGCAAGGCATTGACCCCATTCTGTCCAGAAGGGTCATTGCCAACACAAGATGATGCCGAAGCAGGTGAATTGAGCTCAGCCGCTTGTAAAATCTTGATGAAGGCCTTGTGGTTGGGACGTCTTGCACGTCCAGACATAATCAAGCCCATCGGGGATCTTGCAACGTGCGTTCAAAAATGGTCGCGTAATAATGATAGGCAGTTGGCTAGGCTAATAGCTTACATTAACACGACCACAACGCACAGGTTGGTTGGCACAGTTCAAGACGATCCCAGAGAGCTGCATCTTGCGCTCTACGTCGACGCTGACTTTGCAGGAGAGGAGGGGGCTAAGTCTACATCAGGGGGGTTTCTCGCCCTGAAAGGCCCGAATTCCCACTTCCCCTTAGCATGGATTAGCAAGCGCCAGACTTCTGTGTCGCGTTCCACTACAGAAGCAGAGATTGTGTCGTTAGCATTTTCTTTGTATCAGGAGGGACTCCCAACACTTAGTCTGTGGGATCGACTATTGGGTCGCCCAATGACCCTCAGGATCCATGAAGACAATCAAGCTACTATTCTGGTTGCAAGGAAAGGGCACTCTTCGAAGTTGCGATCAATTTCTAGGACACATAGGGTTAACCTAGCATCCCTTGCAGAACAGTTACAGGAAGGCACTGGAGTAGAGCTTGAGTATGTGAAGACCGATTTCCAAGCTGCCGATATCTTTACCAAGGCTTTGCCTCCACATAAGTGGGATCACGCCTTGAGGCTCCTGGGAATGCGCACAGACCTCCCAGAAGAGCTAGAAGACACTCGATTCAACATCAAAAGTAGAAAGTCATTCCGAAAGCAGTGCTATGAGTACTAAAAGTGCCAAAATATCCTTCATCCTTCTAAAGCCTTGATGACCAGGGAGCAGCGTATCGCGCTCCAAAGCAAAAGCTTACCCTGCCTTAGTGCACACGGCGAGGGGGGAGTCAAGAAATAACGACCCCTTTGCCCCCAAAGGCATGGTAACTTGCCTAGTTGTGTGTTCACTGGTGTGAGGTTTGCATGAGGCCACTTTGGTTTAGGTTGAGGGTTGCATGACATGACAAACTTGTCAAACGGCAAACGCCATTTGGCTCAAGCGCTCAACAAGAAAAAGAGCGCTGAGTGCGGAACTAGAGTTTAGAAACAACCCCCTGAACCGCTGAGGGATTAACCACGGTCAATCCACCTCTTTTTGTTCGGGGCGCAGCCTTTGGCGCGCGTTTGGGGTTTCTTGCTCTTTTGATTTAGGAACTCCAAAGTACTTCTTCCAAAGCCGGAGAGCTCTTGGATTCACCCACAGATGAGGGTTCCCAACGACTGCAACCCTTGAGGACTGATGCGCACGGTCATTTTGATGCTTGCCTACCAAACAAGTTGGTTTCGCTGAACAGCTCCCGCAAAAAAGAGAGGGAGGAAAACAAAGAAAGAAGAAGCGCCGCAGATTTGTCCACTTGCATCCACACCATTGCTCGCATCAATTCTTAGCGGTCCCGCCTCGACTCGACCAACAGTCCGCGCTTTGCGAGGTACCACTTTGCGTCTCTCAAGTCCAACGTGGATCTGACCAAGGCGGGCAGCGCAGCTTTGGAGAGACGGCCACATTTGCTCTTGCGGTGATTTCTCGGCAAGGTCCAGCAACGTCATTGGGGGCCCACGGGGTGTTGCGACGTCACCCAGGAAGGCTTGTTTCCAGCGGGATTCCTTATTTCGCTTGGCAAATGTGCGTTGATTTGCCCCCAGAATTTGGGCGGAATACGATACGCCCGGGTCAGAGCTTGCGTGGAACATTTTGCAACAAGAGAATTCCCCTTTCTTGCAGTACCACTCTGCATGGTTTGTCTGCTGATTTGGGCCCCTCTGCTATTTCCCAACAAGAGGTCTTCAAGGTGATCTTTTCTTCCTTTGGGATTTCCCTTGAGCGCCATGTAACCGAGACTCCACATGCGAACGGGCGTTTGACCCATGTTTGAGCCGTTGCTTTTAATTCCAAGTCAGCGCAGGAACGAACAGCCGATTTGCTGTTGGGCTGGTGGCCTTCGTGCTGGGTCACTCCAGCGCTGTTCGTCCCAACTTGACAGATTGAGAGGGCCTAAATGATGACCGAATGGGGCCTTGGTACTTTTCAGACAAAATTGAGTCATGATCATAGGGCAGAATGATAGTAATTACGCGTTTAAGCAGATTCCAACTTGATTAGCGTAAACTATGAGGCGTAGTATGAGTCACCACGTTCCCTGTGATTGTCCACGTGCGAACGCCCCTCGATAAACACAGGTCCACTCCCAGTAGGTAGCATTGTCCGTGCCTTATTTCACTGGGATTACCTTCTGAGCGGCATAGCGACATTCCAAGCTACGATGTGGAATAAGCCCATTCAATTCACTTGAACGTGCCTTCCCACAACCCACCCCCCCTGCATGGTGTCTCAAAAGATTTTCCTCACCCAAGGAAAATGGACCAGGCACCTTCCTTCCCTCAGGGTCGCTGCCGATTTTTGTTCTCCTACATTTTCTGACTAATGCCACCCCGAAAGAGGGTTGTATTGGATTTTAGGGAGCCATAGCGAAAGTGAGTTGGTTGATGGAGTCCTCTTCGGAGAAGTTTCTCTGTTTCTCCCACTGAACGAGTGAATCCTCGCTGGGGCTATCCTGGAATCCTGAAGGAATAGCCCCGTGGGGAGATGCACTCGTTAACGATGGTTGTCAGGGAACCAACTCAGCTCATCTGTTCGTAGGCTGCAATCACAGGCCACTTAATGTATTCCCCGGAATGATCAAGCTTGCAATTATATGGGGGGGGTGTTTGCCCTCCAAAGATGTAAGCCGCATCTTGTCTCAAAGGGCATACTCGGGATGAGAATCAACCAGACGTTTATGAATCAACTGGGTTCATCCTTAGTGCCTATGACCCCCCAAACCCCACTGAGGCAAAACAATTACTTTGTTTGTCTTTGGTTCCCTGGCAACACGTTCACTTCTCAGAGTCACTGGAAGGGTCCTTTGGTTCCCTTTACCCTTTTTCCAACGATCATGGAAGTGGACCAGCGGCCATTTCAAGGATGGAAATCTTTGAAACTTTCTCCTCTCCACTTCCATGATTGTTGGAAGGCCATTTACCATCCTGGCAAATGTCCTTGGTTCTTAGCAGATGAGCATTGGAGTGAACCCCCATAAACCCTGCAACGGGTGGTTTTCCCATTGTTGGGGGAATCCCAAAACCTCCGGTTCCTTGCCAACACCACTTGACTGCTATTGGGTCAAAACTAACCCCCCCAAAAAGTGAAACCCTTTTTGCAGGGGGGCCGTTCCAGCCACCAAGACCCGGCTCGTTTTTTCGTTCCCCATTTTTGGAGTCGATCGGGCCAGGTGCTCCAGGTGAGCTTCACCTTTTCGGATCCCAGGGGTATCCGGCCCAAGGGCATTTGTACCTGGAGGCGCCCTGGCGTCGAGTTTTTTTTGTCGTTCCTTCTTCCTTCTTTGGTTATTTGGTCCTTTTTGGGTCCTTTTTTGGGTCCGTTTTTGTTTCGCCCGTTTTTGGGCCGTTCTTGGGCCGTTGTTTTGGGTCCCCTGAAATTTGCATCATGTCTTGTTCCACACTTCTTCTTGCGTTCTTTGGGGGACAAACTGAATAAGCCAGGTACGGGGAATCAGGTTGCTTTTCTTTCATGGAAGCCATTTTCATGGCAGATGAGGTGGCGCTTAAAACCATGGGTTTTTTTGGGGGGGGGGTGGGTGGTTGCAGGGACACCTAAAGGACAACCTTTTGCGGTCCCCCTAACGACAAACCCATCTCTGGAATCCACCGTAGCTTGACTCCGCAACCGATCTCGTCGGGAAGCAACTACAAGCTCGAGTTTTCTTGGGCACTCCGATTTTCGCGAGCAAACAGGCAAAACCCAGGCAGGTGCCCTCACAAAAGACCCCCCAAATATTGCAGCGGAACTTTGCAATTTTAACACAGTTTGCGGTTGTTATACTACTGCAATACAATTTACCAGTTTGTGTGTTTGTTTTACTACTGCAATATAAGGGCTGTGGTGTTTCCACAACCTTCACTTTTTGTTTCCGCAGGCTGGAGTGAGATCTCGGAACATGTCGAGATGGGGTCTCAGGGTGCGGGACACTTCTTTTCTTGCAACACATTTCGGGGGTTGTTTGACAAGGAGTCTGGTGTATTTTGGGAGCACTTCCTTTTCTGGAAATCTTCTGGGATCAGACCTCCCAAAAGAGGTTTCTGCGTTGTTGTCTAGGAAGTGTGTAGGAGCTTTGAACATTTTCAGGGCTGAAATCCACCTTAAATGGCACAAATGGAAACTCCTTCCAGAACGTTCGACGAATTCCAACCATGAGGGATGTCTCACGAAAAAGGTACACTGGAAATCAGCCAACCAGTTGGAAGATTGCCCGGTTCGACACCACTCCGACCTCCCATGTGCTTAAGTCGATTTCAATGTTCACGCCTGATCAATGGGTTCCCTTTTTGTTTTTGCTGGGAGAGTTGAACCCATGGGGTCCCCTGGGATGAAGAGTTTCCTCGATCAAGAAAAACGGATCGGATCGGTTTTCTTTCGGGTTGGCACCTGGAGCAAATGGAGGATTTTTGTTTTTGCTGCCTTATGGATCAAGCGCCTTGTCGGTGCTCCGAAGGGTCCATCCGGGTGAGATGGGCATCTTGGGAGAGTTGGTTTTGAGAATGCACCATGTTCGTGGATTCGTGAAGGACCTTTGTTTTGTGGGGTGCTGGGGGCCAGACCTCAGGGCCGTTGGGGGCCAGGTGTTTAACTGTTGGCAATTTCTCGAAGCGAGGACCTGAATGGGAGGAGTCGTTTGGGGATGAAGCCAAGGACCTTGGTACGGTCTTTGGGAGGAGTTTGTGCCTTTCCGGGGCATTGGAAGATTTCTCTTTCGCCTTGGCGAGAATTCGATGCGTGCAGGTTCAACTTCTCCTTTAACTCCAGCAGAGACTTCTACTCGCAGGCAGGTGCTGAAGGGGATAGATTTTGGGGTGAGGTTTACCTTTGTGCCTGCGGGGGCAAGCTAAGGCACTCCCTGGCAACGTCCACTTTGGATGGTCAAGAGGGATCCCTTAAATGGATAACCCGAAGAGAGCAACGAGAATATTGGGGGGGGGGGGGGGGAAAAATGGAGAAAACAGGGGGCCTGGGGGGAAGAGGGAGGAGTGTAGGGGTTATTGGGTCAAATGTTGTTATCCAACGTTTTAACACCCTTGTTTGATTTCATCCTATATTTTGTTGTAGGGTGTTAGGGGTGGATTTTCTGGGGGCCGACATTTTTTTCATTTGAAAGAGTTAGCCCTTTTAGTAGTTATTAAGTTCTGGGGTGTTGGTGGTTCATTTGTTTATTCCTATTCTTGTTCAAAGTCACTTGTTGCTTCCATGTAATCTCTCACAGTATCGTTATTGTTTTCTTGACCTTTCACTCTTAGTTGGTGCTTACTTGTTTGTTGGTGTTTTTTCATTCTGTATTTTCCTACAAAGCATTTACATAAAGGACATTCTACTTTCAATTGGTTATAGTCTTTCTGTTTTTCATTTATGTCTTCTTTGTTCTTCTCTCTATAGTCTTTTGCTTTTTGTTTTATTTCGTCTTTATGGTTTTCACGATAATTCTTTTTCTTTTCTAGTATAGTGTCTTTGTTATTCTCTCTATATGTCTTTTTCTTCTCTACAATCTGCTCTTTGTTGTTTTCGTAATACTCCTTTGACTTTTGCTGTATTTGTTCTTTGTGTGCTTCTCTATACCGTTGTTTGCTCTCCAAGCATACATTACATTGTTTTCTTCCCTCGTTGAACTTTTCTAACAATTGAAAGACTTTACATTTGGAACATTGCTTTTTGTCTGTCATTGGTCTCTATATGTTTAAGGGGTTATTTATTTAGATAAGTTTAAGGGGTTTTATAGGTTAAAAGTTCAGTATAATTATAACATATAAGATTTTACATGTTATTATTATATTATGATTATAATTTCAGTTCAGGATAATAATCTAATTGGTTTGTCTTACTTCTTTCATACATCATTTTAAAAATAATATTAACATCTCTCACTGTATTCTGAACATTAAACTTTTTACTTTCAATAAATAATTTGATATTTTCTTTAACATCTTCTCCTTTCTCTTGACTATAACCCAACATCCATAATATATCATAAATCATGTCATATTTTTTCTTACTGATTTTAAGAAACTGTTTAACATAATCGTAAGGTGGTATTTTATTTACAGTTAGAAATATTAAAATCTCATCTTCTACATTTCTATTATTTATTCTTTTTATTTCCAACAGACATTTGATTAAAAATTGATTATCTCTCCATTCCTGACAATTTTCACATTCGTCTTTTTCATCCATTGAATAATTAATAATATTATTCACTATTTCATTAGGCAAATTCAATTTATACAATCCCATATTTTCTTTTTTGAAGTGACAACAATCATAGCATTTTTTATCGATATAATTATTGATTCCATCACCGTTCATTTTTCTCTTAATATATAAGGTAATATTTCTTTAAGTAGTTTTGGCTAGGGGGTTGCTGGTCGGCTGGTCTGGGTTTCAGGTTTAATTTAAATGTCTTAACCTTCTTGTTAGATTATAAAACAATGTTTAATCATATTATAACTAAATAATATGAATAAAGAACAGTTAGTGTGTCCCGTATTCAATCTCACCAACGATACAACCACTATAACAACTCATACCATACTCACTACAATAATGCTCGTATCCTTTTATTAATTGGTCTTTGTACATCTCAATTAAATCGCTCAGTATATCTCTCACAGGATAATCTTTATTTCTATATTCCCACCAACTGTCTATTGGACAAACGTCCCCAAGGCAGGGGGCAATTTCCCCAAACACAGGGGACAATTGGCAAAACGTCCCCAAACACAGGGGACAAATGGCAAAACGTCCCCAAAGCAAGGGGACAAATGACAAAACGTCCCCAAGGCAAGGGGACAAATGACAAAACGTCCCCAAGGCAGGGGACAATTTCCTCAAACACAGGGGACAAATGACAAAACGTCCCCAAAGCAAGGGGCGATACCCAAATTACTTGAAAGTGGTTTCTATCAATCTGAGTATAGTCCCATTCAAGTATACCTCAATTAATATCAGCATTTTTCAAATCCAATGATACAACATTATAACCGAGCGACTTCGCTACATTACCAACTGAGGAAGTACCACTAAATAATTCTAATAATTTCATATTATTAGAACTATTTAGATAATTATTTTATGGAGTAGTGTCGCGAAGCTCATTAGGCTATTACTTTGTAATAGCGTAATGTCCATATGGTAATGAAGTGAAAGCATCAATATAAAACCTTTTATTTTCATAATTACTTAGAGATTGCTTTACTTGAGACATTGAAAATAATTGATGGTTGCGACTACGAATAAAATTATATGTTATTTCATGCTTTTTGTTTTGAAATAATGCTTCGTGGTAGTTCTGATACGACAGTTCTTTTTTAACTTTGTGTTTCACTACACCTTTTGATTTCTTATGTTCATCAACCTCACCGTGAATTGTGAAGGCGTAAGATTTAGGTTTTAATCCGATGAATTTGGTAATTATTTTTGAAGAGCATTCGTCCTTAAACATTCCTAAGACCTTTTTATTAGTTTTGTCATGACATGGATGCTCAACAGGATAGTCGCTAAAATCCATGTGTTCCTTTATATCATTGAAATCCTTATAGACATCATCAGTCATTGTTTGAATTACATAACTGTCAGTATCTGTATATATCAATTTGATATTTTCATTATATTTCTTTTTCAATACATCATAATAAAACTGATACATATGTAATTTGCTTAAATCTAAAATGCTCATTCCTAAGAAAATCGGTTTATCCAGTTTCAGTTTTGCTTTAGTTTTTTCAACTCCTACGAGATTTTCATTAATAATAAATCTGTTTTTGAATGTTGGATTATTAACACATTTTTCATATCTTACCTCATTATCAACTAATTCAAAATCCATATGGTTTCTTTTGTCCTCCATGGTTTTTCCATACACTGCGTTATTCATTAATTTGAATAAATCTTTCTCAAAATCGCTTTTGGCTTCTTTCCTTTTACCAGTGTTGAAATCAATCCACGGTTTCAACCATGCCCTCTGTTGAAACTTTATTATCCTATGAACTTTACCCATTTTCATTCCCATTTTCAAATAATACTGTAAAGTCTTGATATGAACCACATATTTTTCTTTATCCTTTAGATTTAATATTAACTTACTTGTTTTCTCGTCCTTGGGACTTTTACCATCATAATATATTTTGAAGACTTGCTTTTGATAGTCAGAAAGCATATTCACATTTACATTCATTATTTCAGGCGCTAGTGGATAGTCGGAGTGGAAGTCGTGCAATGTTTCGGGATATTCCAAATCAACTTCCATAATATAACCGAACTCATCGTTTTCATTCCATTTTTCAACATGGGAGTTTTCTTTGCCCACTTGATATTTTTTAGCGGTAACTTCTGGGACATTGCTAAACCATACAAGTTATTAGCATCCAAGTAACTAATATAATTTGATGGCTTGTTCTCATCATATGCTTCCCCCATATACTTATTATTTGCCACCGCTAATTTATGACTAACCTGACACATACCACCTCTCATTCCCTTTTCAACCATCTCAAACATTTCTTGGTCATGCAATTGTTCTATTTCAACACCAGTTTTTAGAAGCATCGCGTCCCATGCGAAATTTGGCAATGTGTAATAATGAGCGGGGTCTAAACCGTAGTATTCCATACACAAGTCTCTAAAGTTTTCAAATACATCGGTCAGTAGTAAAACATCAGTTCTTAAATACAAGTCGTGATACTGCCCGAGTGTTCTAATCCCGAAGTGCTTCCATACTTTCAGTGCCCTTTCATAATCTTTATCACTTACATGTTCTTCACTCAATTTACTGTAAAACGCTTCTTTCGGTGGTAAAGCCCTTTCCTTAAATCTTTCAAAATCATCAAAGTAGTCATAGGGATAAATACCCTTATCAGTCAATAAATCCAAATCTTCATCGGTTTTAACATACGGGTTTCTAACGCTGTATCTGAAATTGTTCTTCCATTCTCACGCTTTTTATCATCCTCATATTTACTCAACTTCACCAACTTATCCAACGAAGACGATAAGAAACTGAAACTGTCCTTGAAACAAAGATTTTTAAAACCAAAGGTTATAAACTTTTCGCTGTTCTGAGCGATACATTCTATTTTAGAATTCTTGTTCAGTTCGTGAGCCTTGTTGATGATTAAGTGGGCATCGTAGTTTTTAAGGTTATGAAGAAACACAGGGATTTTATAATATCTCATACTAAATCGTAGATTACAGTCCTCGTGGGCGCAACCTCTATACTGTCCCGTAAAGTGGCAATGGTCCCAACACTTCTTTTCACCTTCCTCAAACTTGTTTCCACAAATGAAGCAGTTAGTGGCATTATTGAAGTCCTCCCAGTCCTCCTCGGTTTCAATACGGTCTTTGACCTCCTTCATTTTCTCAAAAACATCCCATTTCACTTTATGCATTCTTTTTACAAACACATCCATACAATCTTCACCTCTATATAAGTAAGGCTCACTACTTCCGGTTATAGCATTGACTACATTAATCATAAAACCACACGGACGATGATTTTGATATGATGTAGTTTTAGCTTTTGCCGATTTGCTTTTAACATCAATTGGCACAGTTAAACATTCAAAGTCGGCATAGATTACGAAGGGTGCTTTAAGTTTCTTGAAATGGTTTTTGAATGCTATTGTTTCACCTGCTTTTGGCATTTCTATTGTTTGACCCTCAACTGCTAGACAACCCTGTTCTTCGTGTTTCTTTAAAAGTTCTTCGGACTTGAAACCATGTGAGCAGGTTCTACAGTGATACTTCTTCGCCTTCATCTTGTTAGTCTGACTACTCATTAAC